AGAGGTTACGACTTTCTAGGAGGTGGCAAAAGTACGTAGAGATTGTTATAAAACAAACGTGTTAGAAGCAGTATCTTGATCGCCGAGAAGGGCAGCCAGACCAGTAAGAGGAAAAATGGCTTCGTCCAGGGGCTTCTGGGCTAACTTGCTCAGCCAGCAGGTGACTTCACAGGAACATGGTGAACGTGAGATTTGGGGGCTTTCTTTCTGATTTCGTTATCTGAGGTCATTTTCCCCTGACCTGTGTTTCTGATTAACAGGCAGTTATATAATCTTTGCCAGATGTTTCCTGACTCTGCAAGCAGCTCCATAAAATTTGTCCTCCGAGATGCCATGCACGAGCTGGAAGGGGCTATTGAGGCCGGAGGCCGGGCGGTGTTTCCGGGCCTGGACGTGGTGAGCAGGGACTTGGTCTCAGGCACAGGGGGCTGGTGCTGTCGGCCGGCCAGAAGGGGTGGCTGAGTGGAATGTACGTGGTTTGGAGGGTTCGCCATGCCCTCGAGCTTCCAGACTGAGCTGGAGAACAGACCGGAACAAGGTGGGAAGGACTGTTTACCCGCGAACAAGTCACTGGAATATGTTTCACTGGTTCAATTCCGTGCGAATGGGGCTGTGTGTGGCCTTCGTGGTGAAGAGGCTTTAGGGCCAACAGAACGAGTGTGTGTTGGGAAGAACTGAGCCCGGAGCCCTGGCCCTGCTGTGGCCCCACTGAGACACCCGAGCCCCTCTGAGGGCTCTGACAGCCCTGTGGTGGCTGCAGGCCACCTCGGCGGCATCTGTGACCTCGCAGAAACACTTGCTCCGTCTGTTCCGTGTTCTAGGATTTCTGTAGAAATGAAAAACCGTGATTAACAAAAACTCAAAAACATAGGGTCTGTGTTCCTGGTTTTAGTGGGCCCCCCAAAGTGGGATCTGAGTCAGTGTCCATGAGCCGCCTTCTGTGAGCCTCAGCCCTCGGCAGACACTTCCTGTGTCACCGGAGTGGCCTGTTCCTGCAGCGACCGTGTGACAGGTCCCATCCAGCTCCTCCGGTGCGCTGTGCGGCCGTCCCCTTGTCTGTAAGCAGGGGTGGGGGTTGCAGTTACGCTTCCCGTGAGGTTCGTGACTGCGGCACGGCTGGACGCAGCCGTCAGTACTCGGGCTGTCACCGTCACAAGTGTTCCCTTGGTGGCACTCGTGGTCCATTGCTGGCGAGGCGAAGACAAGCAGCGGGCTGGGTGCGGGAGGCCGCGTGCGCTCGCCCTTCCCCTCTGCCTCCCTGAGCCTGTGCCCTCTGGAGTCCCAGGTCAGGGGGGCTCTGCGGAAGGGGGAAGTGGGGGCTCCAGGGTGTGCCTCACATGGTCAGAGGGGTCCAGTTCAGGGGGTTTGGGAGGATTTCTTGGTGCCTTTGGACCAGACGGAGGGCGTGCAGACCCTACCGAGCCAGGGTGCAGGGATGCTCTTCTGCTTCAGTGTGAAGCGGCCTTGGGGAGCCCGTGGGCGTGTCTGGCCGGGGCGGGGGGGGGTCCCTGGAGAGTATCATCCTCTGAGTCAGCACTCCCGCTGCCACTGCGTGTAGCCTCGCGTGTCATGGTCGGGTGCGCGGGCCAGAGCCACGGCTCATGTTGGCTTCTTGGGGCCGAGCCGAGCCTGGTGTGGCGGGCGGACTCGCGCACATCCGTGGGGGGAGCCCGTCCTTCTTCCCCGTCCAACGCGTGTCTGCGCCCACGGCCTCCCCAGTAGCCTCGCCGGCCACCCAGCTTGTCTTCTCTCACTTGAAAAGTAAAGAGTAGTCTGACATAGCTTCGGTCTGCGTTTCTCTTACTGGGAGCCGAGCCCAGGACGTTTCCGTGTCTGCGAGGAATTCATGTCGGTGAGCAGTTCTCACCGTGTCCTCTGCCCACTTGTGTTAGGCCATCGGGGTGTTCCTCAGCGCTGAGCAGGCGCTCCGGCGGAGTCCGGCGTGTGCGTGTGCGTGTGAGTGTGAGAACGGGCGTGCCCGGCGTGTGCGGGGAGGGGGCCGTGGAGGTGGGACGCCTGCAGGTGCGCCGCGGCCCCTCACCAGGAGGGTCAAAACCTGCTTTGGTCCTGGCCTGTGAGAAAGTCCGTGTTTTGAACTTCCCGTTACTTTCTCTGATCTGTGGTGACGCTCTTTCAGCTCGTTTATTTGAAAATCGCCGGGATGCTGTTTCCAGCCTCCGACTTCCGGCACCCCGTGGTGACGCCTGCGCTCGTGTGCATGAGCCAGCTGCTCACCAAGGTACGTTGGTGGCGCATGGCTCGGGCGGCCGAGTGAGGCCGTGGGGTGTCGCTGTTGCGGGCCGAGCGCAGGAAAGGCTCAAGGAAAGGGGCCTGTGAAGACGACCCTGGAAATGGCCCCAGATGAGATTATGGAAGGTGTGGCACCAAAAAAGAGCCCTTGGAGTTAGTGGTGACGCACCGAGTGTGACGTGGGCTCTGTTCCCCTTTCGGCTTAAGAAGCCCGAGCAGTCGTGTTTCCTAGGCCGGCGTCTGGTGCACCCTCCGTGGCGGTATTGCCACGTGATGGGTCTTCGCAAAACGGACGGAGCCTTGGGGCCGCGACGCTCTTCACCTGGTTTAATCCCACTCGACCCTGCTGCAGCGGGGGGCGGTGCTTGCTCCATGCGGGGGGACGCTCTGGGGCCGCAGACCTCAGCTGGGACGCCAGCCTCTGCAGCTAGCGCAGCCTTCCGGAACGTTCTGCCTGACCACTGACCGCGCCCTGTGCTCCTGTGCCAGTGCCCCGTCCTGTCTCTCCAAGACGTGGTGAAGGGCCTGTTCGTGTGCTGCGTGTTCCTGGATTACGTGTCTCTGTCGCGGAGGTTCATCCCTGAGCTCATTAATTTCCTCCTCGGGATCCTTTACGTCGCAACCCCAAACAAGCACGGCCACGGTGAGTTGGTTGGACGGAGTTTTTTCCAAGTGTGTTCTACTTCAGCTCCTTTAAAAGTCGTCCGTGCTCCCTGTAGAGAGCGTGGGACGTGGAAAGTTAGACATCAAACCCCGCCGTCCAGAGCAGTGGCCTCTCCTCTGCAGCTGGGCGGACACCCCTGCACCCGAGGGAACCGGGGCCCCACTCTTCGCACCACCACGGCCACCAGCGGCCACACGCGGCGAGTCCCATCCGTGGCGTGGCACCCAGATGACTGAGCTTACTGTCAAAAACTCATGAAACAGCTCAGTTCTTTTATGTTGATTCTGTGTTGAAATAACATTTTTATACTTGGGGTTAGACGAATGTATCATTAAGATCTTTTCTTCCTGTGCCACAAGAACGTTTGCGCTCCCTCCGTGCGGCCCCCATTGTTTCTAGTGCGCAGCGCTGTCTCTAGTTTCTAGAGCGCCAGGAATTCTGGAAGGAGTGACCATCAGAAGCCAGTTCTAGCGTCTGTTGACCTGCTAGGCTGTGCTGGTCTTAAGACCCCCCGCCCGCAGCAGCACCCGCGATGCTGACCACTCACCGCTCCCCCGGGTTGTCGGGGCGCCGCCCGGTCTCCGCCCTTCGCTCTGTGTCCTAGGACCCCCTTTCCTGCCCCGATCCATCGTCCGTCGTATCTCCAATCCAATGCCACCACGCAGGCCGCGATGTCAGTCGTACTGAGCACCTCACCGGTGCCCGGGGCGGGGGGCACTTCAGCCCCAGCAGCTCCTCCGTCCAGGACCCTAAGCACGCTGTCCTGCTTCCCCCACGTGGCCTCATAGCCAAAGCCCGGCGTGCAGCTGCTGCACGCGGCCTGCACTGACCGCCTCGCCGCGGACTCCTGTGCGCCGGGCCTGGGCCTGGGGAGGCACAGTCTTGCCGGGGGGCCCGTCGAAGTGGACACTGCAGTGGGGGCACGCAGCAGGCCCCTCTCCCTTCACCCTGCCGCCGCCGGCTTTGCTGTGCCGGGCATACGCCAGGCCAGGCCGGCCGGGCCCGCTGCCTCAATTGTTCTTCCGGGTGGTGGTGGGGTTAAGTCCGCTCCATCGGCGTTTGTCCTCTGGGACAGGCCTTCTCTGACCTTAGTTTACTAGGTCACCTGTGCACCTGCACCCGCTCTCCCCCCGCCCCTCCCCTGCCCTGCGTCTGTGGCCCACCGTTGTCTCTTTCTGATGCTCCGTCCTGTTAACTCCATCGTCCAGGCGTTGTCTGCTGCCTGTCTCCCCCTCGATGTCAGGGGCCTGGGCTGTTCCCTCCGTCACCCCTGCGGAGGCTGTGACCCCACCTCTGTGGGGTGAACACAGGCTGCACGTGTCCGAAGTGACCCTTCTAACTGCGTCACCATGCAGAGCCTGCCCTGTGAGCCTGCGATGCTCAGAGGCCGCCTCTTTCCTTGTCCCGCTTGGACTTCAGGTTACACTCTGGTGCACCCTTTCAGAGCATCTGGGAAGAACTCGGAGTTGCTCTTGGTTTCTGACCAAGAGGACACGGCCACGTGGCAGAGAAGAGGCCTGTCCCTCGGCTGGGCCGGTGGACGGAAGGCCCAGACTAAGACGGAGGCCAACCACACCAGGTAGGTGGGGGGCTTGGGGCCCCAGGGAGGGTGAGCTCAGTGCCAGGCCAGCATGGAACCAGACAGAACTGGGACCCGTGAGGACGCACCCAGTGTCGCCTCTGCAGATGGTACAGTCTTATATGGGGGAAATCCTAAAGACGCTCCCAAAAAGCCGTTAGATCTAATAAACTAATTCAGTGAAGTAGCACAATCCAAAGTCGTCAAAAAATCACTTGCGTTTTTATATGCAGTGAACAATTGAAAAGGAAATTAGAAAATTCTGTTTACAACAGCATCAAAAAGAATAGAACACGGGAGTTGAAACCCAAGGAGGGAGAGACAAGACAGAGCCTCGTGGCGCGAAGACGAGGGACAAAGACAACAGCTCCTGTTTGTGGGTCGGAGGACCCCCCTCCAGACACCGTCACGCTGGGGACTGGGTTTCAGCATGTGAACTGGGGGGGCTCCCACATTCAGTGCACAGGAGGGCTGGGGCTTTTTATCAGACGTCCTTCTGCTTTCTGATTTTTTAAAAGTATGGACTTGAAATATCCTTTTGTTGCGGTAAAAGAGACAACAGAAAGTTTACCATTTTCATCCTGAAGCCAACAGTTGAGTGGAATTCAGTACATTTACATCCTGGTGCAGCCACCGCCTCCATTCACCCCCAGAAGCCCCCATTCGTAGGACAAATTGTATACCCATCCCACGCTCGCTCCGCAGCCCTGGCGCCCCGCGCCCGCCCCCGGTCTGCCTTCTGTCTCCAGCACCTGGCTCCTCTGGGGGCCTCCCAGAAGCGGGGTCACAGTGTCTGTCCTCTCTGGCAGGTGTATTTCACCTTGTAGCATCGTCTCCTCCAAGTGCATCCATGTGGTGGCAGGTGTCAGAATGTCCTCCCCGCTTAAGGCCGGATAACATTCCATTGTGGGGATGGACCACGTTTTGTTCGTCCGTCCGTCCGCGGACACTAGGGTGCTTCCCTGTCTCAGCTGCTGCGCATAGTGCTGCCGTGAACATGGGGGTGCCGGCATCTCATCGAAACCCTTCTTTTAATTCTTTGGGTACACAGGCAGAAGCAGAGTCGCTGGGTCATGCGGTAGCTCTAGGTCTCATGGTTTTGAGGACCGCCCCCCACTGTTGCCTCCCTGCCAGTTTCTCTGTATCCTGCCAGTATTTATTTTTTTAACAGTAGCCATTCTCGTGGGTAAGAGGTGTTAACTCCATGTGGTTTTGATTGGCATTTCCCTGAAGATGAGTGCCGCTGAGCATCTGGCCATCTGCATGTCTTCCCCGGGAAATGTCTGGTCGGGTCTGTGAAAAGAGAAAAAACTTTCCCAGAACATGTGTATTATTTTTCAAGATAATGTCGGCTTGATTTTGCAAATAGTCATTTAAAAACTAAAGTGGAGCCATTCATTTTCAAGTTGCTGCCGCATTTCCCCCAGTGACCCTCCCTGCTCAGGGACACAGGGCGTCTGTCCCACCCGCTGCCACGCGGGACGTGGACTCCATCCAGCCCCTGTTGGGTTTTTCAGAGCTGTTGGTTGGAGATCTTAATTTTTGCCGAGAGGATTGACACTGGCAGTGGCTGAACCAAATGAGCTGGTCCCCTTCTTGCCTCTGGCCCTGAAGCTGGGTGTTGCCCCCTTGCAGACTGTCCTGCCTGGCTGTGTGTCTGGCCTTGGTGAAGCGCTGCGTGCTGCTCTACGGCCCGCTGCCATCCTTCCACACCATCATGAGGCCGCTCAGAGCCCTGCTGACGGAGCACCTGGCCGACTGCGGTCACCCCCCGGAGCTCCAGGTGAGGCCTCCCACCACGCGGCCTTCTGCGCAGGCTCGGCCGCCTCTGTGAGTGGGGAGCAGGTTAGTGGGTGAGCTTGTCTTGAGGTGCAGCTCTAGAAACACCCATGGGAAATGACGGTAGTGGGATGACTTAGGAGAAGTGACCGTTCTCCCCGCACGAGGTCTTGCTCAGTGCCCATGGTGTGGCCACCCCCCAGCCACCTGGGCTACAGTGAAGGCGCTCCCGTGTGTGTCCATAGGGGTGAGTCACTCATGCCCATTGTGACCAGTTTCTCTGGGGAAGGAGATTCCACGGTGTCTGCTGGACGCTGAAGCACTCCCCAGTGCCCAGGGAACCTTCTAGAAGGGCCTCAGGCATCTGTCGTCCTGCCAGCGGGAAGTGTGCGCAAGGGTGTGAGCTGTCCTGTGCGCAGGCCCCCCACTCCTGTCCACACGGCGGTGGGGCTCCCTCAGCTGTGCCCCCGTTTAGCAGAGGAGGCCGGGGGCCCCGAGGCCACGTGCCGGGCGGGCCTGCTGCAGCCCCAGCGTGCCCCCATGTTTCAGGAGCTGTGCCAGAGCGCACTGGCCGACATGGAAAAGCAGGAGCAGTGCTGTCGGCCACTGGTGTGTGAGAAGAGCAAGCCGCTGCCGCTGAAGCTCTTCACCCCCCGGCTGGTCAGAGTGTGCGTGTCGGCCGTGCGCTGCGGCGGGCGGCGGGGGTGGGGGCGGGGAGGCAGGCGGGCTGGACCTGACGTTGGCTTTGCGCCTCAGCCTCGAGTTCGGGAAGAAGCAGGGAAGCAGCAAGGAGGAACAGGAGAGAAAGAGACTGATCCACAAACACAAGCGGGAATTTAAAGGAGCCGTCCGGGAGATCCGCAGGGACAACCAGTTCCTGGCCCGAATGCAGCTCTCAGAGACCCTGGAACGGTGAGCGGCGGCGGTGGCCGGGGCTGCCGGGGCTTCGGGCCAGGTCCCCGTGAGTGACTGCCGGCCCCGGGGCCTGGGCAGGCGCGTTTCCTGCCACTCCTTGTGTGCTGGCCCGCGTGGATGCGAGCTGCTACTGGGTCACGTAGGGTAAAGGGCAAAAGCTGATGTAAAAATGGGGTTTTTTCTTTTTTTTTTTAAGGGACGCGGAAAGAAAACGAAAAGTGAAACAGCTTTTTAACAGCCTGGCCACACAGGAAGGTGAATGGAAGGCTCTGAAGAGGAAAAAGTTCAAAAAATAGTTGCCCAGACAGGACAGGGAGGTGCTGTGCACTGAACGTAATAAAGGCCGCCTTCCCGTGCGCCCGGGCTCTTCCCTGCGCTCCGGCCCCCGGGCTTCCAGGAGAATCAGGCCTCGCCAGCGAGCGGGGGCTTCTGCTCCATCCGGTGCAGACGCGCCTCCGTTAATCACAAGGTTTGGGACTGAGGGCAAGGTTGCGTTCTGTCTGGTACCATCCAATGAGACAGGTGATGTGGGGCCCAGCGCGGGGGCTGACGTCACACAGCCTGTGGCACACTGACCGGCCCTGCATGGTGGCCCCAGTGCCTGTGCCGAGCAGCCGGTCCCTGAGGTCACGCGGCCAGCCACAGCAGGGACCACAGAGGGATCGGAGACCTGGCCAGAACGGATGTGGGGGCCGAGGGAGAGGGTGACCTGATGGTGGTGGGGAGAATGGGGAGTTTGGTCTTGGACGAGTTGGGGGGTGTTGGAAGTCAGGATGGAGAGCGTGGGGCCAGAGTATCCCTGCGGGTGCGTGGAACTCAAGCTATGCTTGCCCAGAGCAGCCTTGGGCTTGGGCATGAGACGCGGGAACACTCAGCCAGCTTCCCCTAGGCTCGTCGGAGACCCGCTTGCCTGGTGTGTGGCTTCCCAAACCCACAGGCCCTGTCACACTCCCCTCGGCTGGGGAGGCCTGGCCTGCTGTTCCCACACAGCCTGTGCTGTTACACAGCTGTTGCTACCTTAATTCACCAAGTCCCTGGGCCCAGGACAATGGGACCAAGTCAGGTGCTGGGTTCTTGGGCTGAGGCCTTGCTCTTCAGTCCCATGGGGATGGCATGTGCCCACGACTAGCCCGTAACGCCCCAGCTCTGGATCAGTATCCCTGGAACATAGCCCACTCTGCCCGCCCTGGGCCTCTCCCCAACCCCACTCCAGACGTACGTCTTGGCCATGTATCTGTGTGGCTGGTGCATCACAGCCCTGCCTCTGCCCCCTGCAGAGGGGAGTATATAGAACGAGTTGTGGAAGAAGGTATGAAACCCCCTGGGACCCACCTGGCCCGGGGGGAGGGCTGTTCTGAGCGGTTCCGATGAGCTCTGCGTGCGGATTCCCAGCTCTGCCCTTCTGCCGCCACCCCCACCGTCTAAGGAAGTGAACGGGGCCGAAGCCTCAGGCATGGAGGCCGCAGGCTGCCGCAGGGGCAGCGTGGCTCAGCTGGAAGACAATGAACACGACCCAGACGTGTCCTTTGGAGAAAGCTGACGGGTTTGCGTTAGAGGTTGACTCCTTGCCGCCATCAAGTAGAGTGTGACTGCGATTATCGGTATTTGGGATTTTAATACGGTGTAAAGAGGGGGTACGAGTGCCAAGGTGACCGGGCGGGCTGTGCACACACACCAACCCGGAAGCCTCACCACGTCTACCAAACTTCCCGTTACTTTCTGGTTAGGGTTGGCCAGAGTCTCGGGAGCCCTGGACGCCAGGAGGTGGGAGGGGGCGGGGCGGGAGCAGATGAGGGCCTCCGCGGCGCGGGGCCAGGCCGGCAGCAGGAGCGGCCAGCGGCGGGCCCCCTCCGCCTCCGCCTCCGCCTCCGCCCGCTGGCCCGGGGCCCGGGGCCCAAATGCGCGCGGTCACAGCCGCGGGCCGGAGAGGGTCGAGGCCGGCCCCCGCACCACTCGGCCCTCCAGGGTGCAGCGCCCCGCACCACCTGCGCTCCGCGAGTGCGGCTGGACCGCGGGAAGGGACCCCGGCGCCCGCCTGCGGTGCGACCCCGCGGCGGCCCTGCAGGACGACGGCCCGCGGCTCCTCAAGACCAACCCGCACTCCGCGCCCGCCGGCCGGAAGAGGAAGCAGGCCGTCGTCCACACTTCCGGGGCGGGGCGGGGGCGTGGTCGGCGTGCGCCCCGCCCCTGGCAGCGGGCCGGGCCGTCCATTCCGCATCCGTCCATCTGTCCGTGTGTCCGTGTCCGTCCGTCCAACCCGAGCGCGCGGCCGCGGCAAGTGCAGGGCGGGGCTGCTCCCGCGCCCAGTGCGCGCCCCACCGCCCCGCCCAGGATGCGGACCGGGGCGGGGCGGGGTCCCGGGTGGGGGCCAGGTCTGGGATTCCGGGCGAGGCGGGGGGGGGGGGGCGGCGGAGATCGGGGGGGCGGGGGCCGGGGCCCGGGGCGGGGATCGTGTTCGGGCCGCAGGGACGGCGCCGGGGCCTCGGTTTCCCCGCCCGCTCCTCACGAGGACGTGGGGTGGCCGCGTGGGGTGGGATGGTGCCCGGGACCGCGATGTCCCCATCCGGCCCCTGGCGACGGTTGGCATCAGTGGCTGCGGTTTCTTGGCGCAACCCCGCCGCCGGAGTTTCCTGCACCCGGGGTCGGGGGGAGGGCGCAGAGGGACCCCTGTGTAGGGTAGGCATCCGGCGCTCGGGTACCCAGAGGTGGCCTCATGCAGACCTGCCCCACTCTCAGCCAGGCGGGATCATGGGCTGGGGAGCCGGAGGGAGCTGCACCCCGCGCCCACCCATCCGCCAACAGACGGCGCAGGAGACGCGCGTGATCACTGTGGTCTTCCTCGGCCTCCTGCTGGACCTCCTGGCCTTCACTCTGCTCCTGCCCCTGCTACCAGGGCTGCTGGAGAGCCACGGCCGTGCCCACGTGAGACCGCCCCCATGTCCCTGTCCAGAGGCGCCCTGACTCCCCCCGGATGGCTGCCCACGCCCCCCACCCTTGTCACACTTGCGCGTTCCTCAGGACCCCCTCTATGGCTCGTGGCAGCGAGGTGTGGACTGGTTTGCCGCAGCGATCAGGATGCCGGCCGAGAAGAGGTACAACAGTGTCCTGTTCGGAGGTATGGCCGCCGGCCCCATGCCGGGCCCCTGTGACCGGGTCTGGACTCCAGTCAACCCCAGCCCTTGTCCCCGCCTTCCTGCTCCTGGGCGCTGTCTGCCCCTCTCCAAGTGCAGCGTCCACTGGTGGTCAGGGCGCCTCAGCCGGAGGCCCAGGGCTGGGGAGTGCAGCACCCACCCGGCGCGATCAGACCCTTGGGGACAGATGGAGTCGTGGTGACCAAAACCTCTGTCTCCTCCAGGTCTGATTGGCTCGGTCTTCTCCTTCCTGCAGTTCCTCTTGGCACCGCTCACGGGGGCGGTCTCGGACTGTCTGGGGAGGCGCCCGGTGATGCTGCTGTCCCTGGTACGGGGCTCCCGAGGCGAGGGAATGTGCGGCTTCCTCTCGCCCGCCCGGCAGCCCTCTGGGGGGGAAGGGGGTTGGCTGTGAGCCCCTCATTGTCCCCGGGGTGGGGTGCTTGAGGGGGTGGTGGCTCCCGTGGCCCAGCCAGGCTTTCCCAGAGCTGCCCCTGCCACCTGTGCGGACATCGGGAACACAAGTAGACCTTGATGCTCCAGAACAGGGCCAGGCCCCAAGGGTGTTACCTGGGTTTGTCGGCCCAACTCTGGGCCCCTCGTGGCCTCGGGTGACCATACCTGCCCTGTGGACCCCACCCCGAGGCAGGCAGGTCTGGCCACCTCGTACGCTGTGTGGGCTGCTTCGAGGAGCTTCGCAGCCTTCCTGGTCTCCAGGGTGATTGGGGGCATCAGCAAGGGGAATGTCAGCCTCTCCACCGCCATCATAGCTGACCTGGGCTCACCTTCCGCCCGCGGCCGAGGCATGGTGCGTGCAGGCGATGGGGGATGAGCGGCTGCGGATTCCTTGGCTGGGGTCTTCCTGCCCGGCTCAGGCGGTCTTCTCCCCAGGCAGTCATCGGGGTGGCCTTCTCCCTGGGCTTCACCCTGGGCCCCATGCTGGGTGCCTCCCTGCCCGTGGAGACGGTACCCTGGCTCGCCCTGCTCTTCGCTGCCTCCGACCTGCTGTTTATTTTCTGCTTCCTGCCGGAGACCCTGCCCCCAGAGAAGCGGGTAAGGGGGGCACCCGGGAAGAAACCAATGAGAGGTCCCGGGGCTGGGGGCTCAGTTCTGTGGGCGTGCGGGGATGCCAGGGGAGGCTGGACTGTCCTCTCCTGGTGCCCCGGCCTCTAGGGCCTGGCAGGAGAACTGGAGGCCAGGGCAGGTTCAGGTCATGCCCCTCCCCAGCTGCCTGGCAGGCCCCTCCAGTCCTGCCCCTGCCCCAGGCACCCTCCATCGCCCCCGGGTTTCGAGCCACTGCGGATCTGCTCAGCCCCCTGGCCTTGCTCCGTTTCTCGGCCGTGGCCCGCAGCCAGGATCCACCTGCTGGAGACGGTAAGGAGCCGCTCCCCTCTCGAGGATGGGACCGTGGCTGCTTCCAGCTGCCCAGGCCTCCCCCAGCTATCGTCAGCCCCTTCCCCACTGCTCCCCAGGGCTTGGGAGCCTTCGCCGCCTGGGCCTGGTGTATTTCCTCTACCTCTTCCTCTTCTCGGGCCTGGAGTACACCCTGAGCTTCCTTGCCCACCAGCGCTTCCAGTTCAGCAGGTAGGCCCCTTGCGGAGCCTGGCCTGACCCCCCTCCCCGGGTTCAGGGCTGACTCCCACCCTGGCACACGGCAGGCCGTGGAGAACCGGCTGTCACCCTGGCTCCCTGGCTTGGCCGCGGGGAGCAGGGGCGAGGCACTCACAGCTTCCCCCGCCCCCAGCCTGCAGCAAGGAAAGATGTTTTTCTTCATCGGCCTCACCATGGCCACCGTGCAAGGTGCCTACGCGCGGAGAATCAGCCCTGGCAGGGAGACTGCAGCTGTGAAGCGGGTATGGGGCCCCCCCCCCCTGGGAAGCGGGCGGTAAAGGGGGGCAGGCTGTGCCCTGAGCCCCGCCGGCACCAGCAGCGGTGGGTCCTGAGCCCCGCCGGCACCAGCAGCGGTGGGTCCTGAGCCCCGCCGGCACCAGCAGGGGTGGGTCCTGAGCCCCGCCGGCACCAGCAGGGGTGGGTCCTGAGCCCCGCCGGCACCAGCAGGGGTGGGTCCTGAGCCCCGCCGGCACCAGCAGCGGTGGGTCCTGAGCCCCGCCGGCACCAGCAGCGGTGGGTCCTGAGCCCCGCCGTGCCCCCCGCAGGCCATCTTGCTGCTCGCCCCCGCCTTCCTCCTCATCGGCTGGGGGCTCACGCTGCCTGTGCTGGGCTTGGGGTTGCTGCTGTACTCCTTCGGTGAGTGGGTCCTCCCAGGGCCAGGGTGGGCGCGGCAGGGAGCCAGGAACCCGGGGTCACAGCGCCCCCTGGTGTCTCCCACCAGCTGCCGCGGTCGTGGTGCCCTGCCTGTCCTCTGTGGTTGCCAACTATGGTGAGATGCCTTTCCGTTGCTGGAGGTCCTCCAGGTGGGAGGAGGCCTGCAGGCACCTGATGGCCTCCTCCTCCCCTTCTCCCCCCCAAGGCTCGCCAGGGCAGAAGGGCACAATCATGGGCACCCTGCGGAGCCTGGGCGCCCTGGCCAGGGCGGTGGGACCCATGGTGGCCGCCTCAGGTGAGGGCCCCAAGGTGGCCGGGCCAGGCCTGGGGGCTACTGGCCTACAGCGGGGGGCGCGCCGCTGCTGCCATCCTGGGGCCAAGGGGCGGCAAGGACGGGGTGGGCCCGCGCCACCGCTCAGGCTCTCTCTCCACAGTGTACTGGCTGGCAGGGGCCAGGATCTGCTTCACCGTGTGCTCCGGCCTCTTCCTGCTCCCCTTCCTGCTCCTGTGGAATCTGAGGCCTCCAGCCCACGCGCTCAAGGCCGAGTAGCCGAGCCAGCCCCGCCCCGAACTGGGGGAGGGGGGGGGGAGAGAGGGGGGGCCCGGGCCTGCCGCCCCCCCCCCCCCCCCCCCCCCGTCCCGGGCCCAGCCCAGGACGGCTCACGGCCTGCAGCCCCAGAGGGCCCGAGACACTCCCGGCCCCTCCCTAGGTGTGGACGGCCCTGTGAGGCTGGGGGCAGTGACTCCAAACCCTTCCAGGCTTTCTGTTGGCTTCTGTGACACACGGTGTCAGCCAGGCCTCTGAATGACAAAATAAAGCAGCTATTTTATATCCAGTGCCTCTCTCCAGTACACCGCTGTGCCTCGCCACCCCCCACCCCCAGGCGCCAGAAGCAGCAACTTAAGCTGAAGGCTCTTAGAGCTGCACTGAGCAGAAGTGTCCCAGGCTCTTCCCGAGCCGGCTGCCATTCTGCACAAGGCTGAGGACAGAACGTGGACGCAGGGCCCTCCAGGCTGTGCCCTGCACCCTGGCCGACCAGGGAGGAGAGGCCCCTGTGCCACGTTCTCCCCATCACACGTCCCGCCCCAGCCTGTGGCTAAAGGGTCCTCCCCAGTGCAAAGCAACAGTGTGTGATCAAGAAATAAAGCACTTGGGGGGCGCCGGGGGGGGCTCCGTTGGTTGGGCGTCCGACTCCTGATTTCAGCTCCGGCCATGATCTCAGGGTCACGGAATCTGCCCCTTTTGTGGGGCTCTGCGCTAGGGGGCGGGCAGAGGCTGCTAGAGATACTCTCTCCCTTTGCCCCTCCACCCCCCCCACACGCCCACACTGTCTCTCAAATAAATCTTAAAAAAAAACTTGGGGACCTCTTTGGGATCCAAGGAGCAAACGAAAGGAACTGAAGTGTAAAACTGCTTCCCACGTTTAGACAAGGAAACTGCTTAAAGAATTTTATTTGTGAGTAAAACATGTTACAGTGAAGGACGCAGGACCCATCCTCCCAAGCCTGTGTCCATATATACGACTAAACTTCATGTTGTGATACAAAGAGTTAAAATAAACTACAAAAGTGAAATGAGAGTCACTGCATACGTGGGACAAAAGGAAGGGCTAGCGTCGGTGGTTAACTGGAGGGCAGGGCGAGGGCGGAGAACCCGAACACCACCGCGGCGACAAAACGACACGCTGGAGAAAGCAAGTCTCCAGAAGCTTGAAGCAGCTGTCAGCGCCATGCAGCCAGCCTCAGGTCCTGCTTGGGGTCAGGCGTGTGGGACCCCGGCCCGGCTCTGGCACCAGGTCCACCAGGAACCCCTCCCCGCTTTCCGGGGAGGAGGCGAGCCGGCACCCAGCCAGGTCGGCACCGGGCAGCCCCTGGAATGGGTCCCCCACTAGTTCCTGCTAAGCAGCTGCACGTGATTTTTCAGGAATCTGAATGAAAATTTATGATGTCCCACAAGGAGAGCCAGGCCTGGCTCCACAAAGGACTAGTGTGAGAAGTTAGGGAGGGACCGCTGCGTGCCCTTCTACCTTGAGTTACCTTTTACCAAAACCAGGCATCTTTCAGGCTGCGTTAAAGAGGCAACCCTTTCCCAGTTCCAGTGGCCTACACTCTACTGTGCTGTGCAGAGGCAGAGCGAGAAAACTAAAGCAAGAAGTGGCCTGTTCCTGTTCATGGTCAAACATGGAGGGTGAATTGCAAACCTGCTGAAGGAAAATTCTAGAAAGGACTCTTCCCCCTCTTAATGTATCTTCTCTATGACAGGAATCTGGAGACCCCAGTAAGAATGTGGGGGCCTCTGAACCCCGTTTCTGGGCTCAGGGCCATCAGACCATGCACAGGGCACGTGGGGTGTACGCAGGCCCCTCGGCTGCTGGGTCCCTGGCTCTCACAGGCCGTCAGGGTGCCCGGGGCCGCCGGCGGGCACAGCAGTACTCGCCCAGGACAGGTTCTGTAACTACGACCCAAGTGAGATCGCGGAGCAGGTAATGCCAGCAGAAAGCTCCAAGTCTGACTCAGTCACCTGCCACGTGGGGGTGAAGGGGAGCCTAGCAGACACACAGCATGGGGGACTGCACCCCAGGAGGAGAGGGGAGGGCAAGGCCAGAGCCACCGGGGCCTCCAACTGCCCAGCCAGAACCAGGACGGCCCGCCCCCGGGGGGAGCGCACCTGCAGGGTGCCAGTCCAGGCAGGGCGGGCAGAGGCAGAGGGGCCGCGGAAACGTGTCTCCCCCAGCCCCCGAGGCTGAGGCCCGCTGCACACGCACACGAGGTTAGCGCCGGTCTACGTGGGGGTTTGGTCACGCCATGAGGGGAGCTTTAGCTATGAGGAGGGATGGGCTTTTTGCATTCCATGACACAGGAAGACAGGACACGAGACACAACCGGGGGCAGTCTGGTGGCTTCGGTGTGTGAGGGACGGGCCTTCAGGAGTCACTCCTCTTCTTGCTCTTCTTCAGAAAGGAGGGGGTGCGGAATTTCTTCTTCTTCTTGGAAGGGGACTTGCCCGGAGACCCATCGCTGCCAGGGTCCACGGCAGCCCCCTCCTCGGCAGCTGGGGAGGTGGCCTCTTCCAGCACCTGGGCGGAGGCTGGCTCGGGGCTGGCCGCCACAGGGGACCTGGCGGGGCCGGGAGGCTCGTGGGCTTCACCGAGCCCCTCCTCCCCCTCCTCCTCCTCCTCCAGTGTGGGGAAGCCGAGCGCTTCTGAAGGCTCATCAGGGGACAGGTCGGGGAGAGTCGGCTTAAAGGTGGCAGCATCACTGTCCTCTCCGGAGGTGGGCTCCTGCGGCAGGTCTGGTGGGCAGGGGACGAGAGACAGGGCTGAAGAGCAGCCACCGGACCTGAGCGGGGCGCCCCGAGAGAGGCAGCTCCCCGCACCAAGATGGCTGCGAGGCTGGGCTCTAGGGGCTTTTAGCGACACGCAAACAAGAAACTTTTAATCAGGTCTACTCTACTTTAAGGCTGGATATGGCTCAGGATACAAAATGGAGACGCAACGTCGCCGGGGGTTGGGGATGGGGGGTTCAGCTCCTCCTCGTGGACAGTGTGCTGACAGACCCAGACGCGGTCCTGGGACCCCGGGCCCCAGTCAGAGAGCTGGGCGAGCTGACGGCACTGCACTAGGACCATGTTCCACGTTTAACACTCCCAACAGGAGCTTGTTCTAGAACCCTAAGGGCACATATTAGTAGTATTTAGGCCTAAATTTGGGTCCACAACACCTGGTCTCCCCCAAGAAGAAAACCATGGAAAACCGTGGTTAACTCCCAGACCCCATGGGCACTATCAACATCAAACAAAATAAAGCCATTGTAGGCTGGAGAACGAAGGAAAAGAACAGAACTGTAAGGTAAGGGACAGGGGCAAAAACCAGGCCAGCTTTAGCATTCAAACATGGGAACATGAAAGGGCAAAAGGTAACTCGCTATAGAGAACACAGCCCGAGAGTGGGTGTCCGGGGAAGGTCCCATCATCAGATCTCTATGCGGACTCTGACCGGGGGGAAACCAGTTTTGTAGAGTTTTATAACATCCTACAGAGTTACAAGCGACTTGCTGCTTAGGCAACACTAAACCATTTAGTACAGAGAAGCCAAGCCCCGCGTCAGGGGGGACTCAGAGCTGAGTGTGGGTGAGGTGCGGCCGCGGGAGGCTCCGGGCCCCAAACGCTTAGCACTTCGGCTCTGGGAGGCTGGGGCTGCCCCGGCTGGCCCCTGGGCCACCTTCAGTCCTGGGACAATTAAATGTCCTTACTCAGGGGGACAGGAGGAAGTTAGCGTTCACCCTGCAGAGCATGCAGAGGTGGCCTGTGGGTGCCTCTGGGGAACTTTACCATGTGACCAAATACCACATTAAAAACAGCACCAGTCTCCTGCCCCATCCCCAATTAGGCTTAAGCGCTCAGCTTAAGCCAAGATCCCAACAGAAGCCACTGGCATGCAGCACGAGGCAAAATCCTCCCCCTGCCTGAACCTAGTCTGGTGTGTGTCTGATGCCGCCGAGCAATCACAAGCTGAGCAGGACCACGTGACGGCTCTGGAACTCCCGAGACCCACAGGGCCCTGAGCAGCACCGCCTCGGTCCCCGGGGGTCCCCACCTAGCTCTCCAACCACGGAGTCCCTGCCAAGATGCCACTGCCTGGGTGGGAGGAACTGAGTACAAAAAAAGCGGAGCGGGGGGGGGGGGGGACTCTATTTTTATTTTGAATAAACAGAGAACAGAACTCAGTAAGCAACAAAGAAGCAGGAGAATGAGGCAAAGCACAGGGACCACTGGTTAAACGGCAGAGGGCCAGACGCGGGCGGTACTTACTATGGTAACAGGTACTCTTTAGCACATCCAACTCCTGTTTGTAACGCAGCCACAGGAAGAGAAAAGCACAGGGAGAGAATCTAGGCATTCAGTCACAGCCACTGGGTTATAGAAGGAGAATGGCTGAGCCATTCTTGGGGACAAACGGGGGGAGGAAGGCGAGCCACGGGCTCCCCACAGGCACGGGAAGCACGACATGTAGGACCAAGGGACAGACACGCAGTGGGTGGTCTGAGAGGCCAGTGGAGGCCAGCACGCTGCATGGACTGACTACTACGGCAGGGCACACGAGGTCCTGCAGCCCAGACACAACAGAAGACGTTTCCAGAGGGGTGATCTGGACACAGTAAGGTTTGAGAAATGCATAAGCAGTAGGCAAAACTGACATCATAAACGAAGGTGGGATCCGATCCCCCAAGTCTGCCCTCCCACCTTGTCCTGATGTCTCACTACCAAATCTGTTGCCTCGAGTGACCCAGGACAGAACCAAAACAGGAGCAAGAAAGGCGGGCCAGTTCAGAACCATGTGTCGTGCTGGCTTCCACGCAAATGCTCGCTCCTTCACCACGGTCCGTTCAGCTACTGACACCCGGTGCTCTCCCTCCACTCGACAGGACACAAAATCCACCTCTCATGGTGGACACCGGACCACAGAAGGCCATGCACCCTCCCACAGCGGGGCAGCCACACGCTCACGTCCACCCCAGAGCTCACCTTCCTCAAGCTTGACAGGGGTGCTGGGGGGGGTGTGCGGGGCAGCAGGGGGCTCTGGAGGACTCTTTTCTTTCTGTTCTCTGGTCTCGTCCAGATTCTCTGCAGATGGGCAGAAAGTGAGAGGCACACAGTAAAGAGCTTCAGACATCGTGAGCCTTCACCCTCCTCAAAGGCAGGCAGGCCCTCCTGCCCTGTCCATCTGGCTGCGTTGAGGGGGACGGCTGAAGCTTCTTTCTCGGGTACATCGAAGAGACCAGGAGGGCTCATGGCCACGTTGTCTTCATCTCTCCAAGGGGACAAAGAAGGCCGATT